CGGAGGTCATCTTGCAGCAGACTGCAGAAGAGAGAGAGAGAGAGAGAGAGAGAGAGAGAGAGAGAGAGAGAGAGAGAGAGAGAGAGAGCAGAAGTAAACACTGCTGGTTGGTTGGGGAAGTACAACCAATTAGCTTCCCACAACTTCCACCACTTGTTCGACCTCACGCATACCCACCATGAGTGGTACATTGGGCCTCGCTCCACAACTGTCCACACGCACAAGAGAGAAAAAATATGGTGGTGTACCTTTCCAAGTTCTAGCGGAAGATTCTTGCTCACGTTGCGAATTTGGTTAGTGGAGCGAGGCCCGCTGTCTCATACACCCAATTATAGCGGTCACATGCCGCCTTCACCTGCATACCTCTTTTCCTCAACTAGGTTATTTCCATTCTATCTATTTATCGGTGGGGGGGTAATTAACACTTACTGGGGTAGTTACTACCCCAAAACCCTGGGGACACGTGCCAAAGGGCTCGCAAGAGGCCGGTTGCGAGCCCGGTCCCTGACCGAAGGCATCGTTTGAGTCTCAATAAAGGGCGACCAGCGCCACCAAGTGCGATAGCAGCCACAGCGGAGAGGCCTGCTTCTGGGAGGGGACAAGGGACCGTTGATCCCAGTGTCTCCTTATTTCCTCCCTTGTTGGGGTGGGGGGCTTGCGTGTGGGAGTTCAGTTCATTTTCCTGCATAGCATGGTGCTTTTTTTTCTTTTTCTTTTTCAACAGGGCCCTTTATTATGGGGGGCTACAGTCCGGTGGCGTATCCCCAGAGCAAGCATGTTTGCACAAGAGCAACGGGAGAAAATAACAGAAAAAGAGGGTCAGCCTGACGCTTGTGGCTCGAGTCGCCTAAGCAAGGGGGGGCTGCACAGCACTCCCCTTCAATCACCATGTATCTATCTATACCCACCCTCAAAGTCACATTTCGTATTCTGCCTTCCACCATTAATAGCCCCAGCATTTCTATGCCTCACTATATCATCCATCGGAGTCACATTATACATCTGTCATTAATGGCCCCAACATTTTCCTATTCCTTTCCCCCCTATAGACCTATCTATAACATCCATCAAAATTACATTGTGCATCTATCTCCCATCTACTATTTGATGCCCCAGCGTTTCCTGCTGTTTCTTCACCACAAAATCGTTCATCCTGCCTACCTACTTCTTCCCCCTCCCCTACTTATCTAATCTCCCACCTTTTGTACCTACCTACCTGTTATACATCTACCATTCACCAAATCTTTGCTACTATTCCCATCCCTCTTTTCCCATTATCCTTCCTCTATGTTGCAAACCGGTTGCTCTCATAATCATGCATACCCTTCTCTCTACTCGTCCTCCCCTTCCCACTCTCCACCGATCCTTGGCCCTTGTCGTCTCAGTGCAGGGCCCAGCCGCATTTGACCCGTCTGAGGGTGTCCGGTGAGCAGCTGTGGGTAAGCGCCCATCGTGCCCAAAACCCCTCCTCCTGCCTTCCTTTGCGCGTGCTTCGGTACCAGTCCGCTGAAAGGGCAACTCTGATGTTCTCCATTGCCCTTTATTGGTAGGCCCGCGGGGCCGCAGTGGCGGCACAGCTCCCTGCCTACATCGCTCGTTCCTCAAAGTCCACAAAGCCCACAGCACTGCTGCCCTAATGATCTCTAGAGCAGGACCAGGTCCTACGGTTGTGACCTGCCCACCTTCATCAGGGCCCCAAGAGGATTATTGCAGGCCCCAAGAAGGATTATTGCGTCGCCTGCCTCCATGACCCCCAAGGGGGGTTTGTCCGCCATCTCCTGTGCCCACCACTCCCAAAAAAGGCCTCTCACCGGACACAGTCTTCACCCGAATAGAAAGCCTGGTCTTTATAGCCGTACTTGGGCCAATTTTCAGTCCAGATGCAGCCATAATGACCAGGCGTTCTATTCAGGTGAACACGGTAGGCCCTTTTACGTCTGGAGCAGAGGATCGAGGCCCCATAGGACCTCGCTCCTGCACAACACTCTACATGCATTTGGACGTGTTCTGGACCGGATACATTGGAAAATTTCGACTCGTCCAAATGCACCTGGTCCAGAATCCGTCCACATTGACGTAGACTGTTGTGCACTCGAGCCAGGCCCATAGACATATGATCACAGCGACTAACCCACAGAACCAAACGACAGCAGAAAACGTTAGCCGAGTACTTCGAGGGCCTCGTCCCATTACCAAAGAGAATTGGACTTAATTCCTGAATTTGGACTTGTTTATGGAAACATGCAGAAATTTGCGACTGATCTGCTTTTCTGCATCTCTGCCCAAAACACGTGCGAGGATCTGGGTCCTCGGCAGGCCTAAGGGCCCCCTGTTGCATCTGTGCCCACCCTAAGTGAAGGCGGGCCTAACAAAATCACGAAAGGCCGTCAGCCTTCAATTTCGTAATTGGGGTTCAGGCAGTCCCGTTGCGCCAGTTGGTTGAGGAAAACACAGGCCGCGCAGCAAGACTTTCGACGACCTTCCAGGCCTTTCCAAAATGATACAGGCCCTCGACAAGAATGGCAGCCTCATACACAGACAGTTGGGAGGCCCAACCGAATGAGGCGCAGTAGCTGCAAGAGGGGCGCAGCGTCCTGGAGCCTACCAGAAGCTTCTGGGCGCAGGCCAGTCCAGCCAGACCGCCGAATGAGGCAGGCTCTTTCCATATAGGAAAGAGCTCGCTGCCTGGCCATTCATTCGGGCACTCACATGTTGGCGGCAGCGCTGCTGAAGCTCGTGGGCTGCTGCTAGCGCTGAGAGGNGCTGCCTGGCCATTCATTCGGGCACTCACATGTTGGCGGCAGCGCTGCTGAAGCTCGTGGGCTGCTGCTAGCGCTGAGAGGTGAAGTGCAAGCACGTGCGGTCGTGCGAGGAGGGCACTGCTGAGGGCAGCGCCATAGCCCAGCCTCCATAGCTGGCGGGCTTGGATGTACAGTGAGGCGCAGGGGTGGTCTTCAGGTTTCAAGAGGGAAGACCTGGGAGTAAGACCAGGGAGAGAGAGAGAAGGATGATGAGGATGACGATGATGTGAGGGCACATACCTGGTATTGGCGATGGTCTGCATGGGCAACATCTTCAAGTACTTCGGAGGCTGCTGACGTCAACGGTTGCATTGTCAATTAGTAGGCTAGTAGTAGCTGTGTAGGGAGTGGGCTGGGCGCCGAGCGCCACGTAGGGAGATAGAGACTGCATACATATGTTGGTGGTGGCGAGAGCAAGCTCTCATTAAACCACCAGTACTTGGCCCAGCTATCAGCTGCGGCGCTTTCCTGTTAACGCCCCGCGCCTTTAGGGCTTCGGGGTACCGGACCACAATGGCTGGAAGCGCCAGCCAAAAAAAATTTGAAACGGTAACCCGGCGCTTCAGCAAAACTCGGCGCACAGGGGCATTCCAGGCTCCGCATTGATAGCTGGGCCAAGTACTGGTGGTTTAACATTGGTTTTCAGCATTACGATTCTCCATTGGTGTCATATTGGTGCAATGCTGCTTTCTGAACACTGTGATACCATCTGGTTTTCAATGTGATTGTGCAATCTGTATATTGTCATCTCGCTATTGCTCATTTTCCTTGGACACGTCCAGATTCAGGAACTAAATCCCGACTGAATCCTCTTTGCTAATCAGACTAGGCCCCCGGAAGTCCTTGTTATTATATAATGAAGGATTACCGAAATAAGTCGAATTCTCAACGAAATTGCAACGAGCATAGTAGACTGCCGTCTTCCCCCGAACAAAACGCACCCGCATTTTGACTGTATCAGGCCGGAAACATGCCTCGCATACGTTCATTTTCAGGGTGCGTTATGTCCGGGGGAAGACGGTACCATCYCACCTGTGCAAGGGAAAAAAAAAAAAAAAAAAAAGAAGGAAAAAGAAGGCATTGCCCCTGCGTTCTCAAGGGTTCCCATACATCGACAAATAGTCCAAAAACAAAATACAAAAATAAAAATAAAGATCAAAGTGGCCCATTTCTCTCGATGCTGCACCCATGAACAGTAGATAAACAGACCCAAGTCCGAACCCCTGGTCATGGTCCAAATGAAAAAAAACAAAAAACATAAATAAATAAAAAATATTTAAAAATTTTGTTGGCGGGTGAAAAATGGTTCGGGGTGTGAGCAGACCTTTAATCTTCTTCGTCCTTTTTATATCTCCCTTTTTTTCTCCTCTTCTTCTCTCCTTTTTTTCCTCTCCCTTTTATATCTCCCTTCTTTTTTCTCCTCTTCTTCTCTCCTTTTTATATCTCCCTTTTTTTCTCCTCTTCTTCTCTCTTTTTTTTCTCCTTTTTTTTCTCTCCTTTTTTTTCTCGACCAAGGTGTAAGTTTCACTGCTTTCGAATTTTTAGGTCACTCTTGTTTCTTTTTCTGAATCGACACATGTTTATTTTATTTCTTACTGCTGTTTTCCACTTTTTCCGCAAAAAAATGAAGTAAAAAAGTCCAATCATTATAACGAGCCCAATGTAGTCGTTAAGACTGACACCTGCACCAATCATCAGGCAAACATTTAAAAAAGACAGCCCCTCCTCCCCCCCCCCCCCCCCCCAAAAAAAAAAGACCCCTCTCAACTTCCATCCTGCACTAAAGATTCCCCACCTAGTCAACTCGCTCCTCAACGTTTCCCATTGAACTTTCCGAAAAAAAAAAAAAAAAAAAAAAAGCTCAGGGCTTCTTGAGTCTGCACTTTTTGATTTTACATGACGGTTATTCTTATCATCTAACGGAGTAAAAAAAAATTAAAAAAAATGAAAAAGGTCTCCTGCGACATGGAGTGAGTTTTTGGACCATCTGTGACTGATAAAAAAAGAAGTGCCATACAAAATACAAAAAGATCGTTCAATCAAGAAGGGTATTTAAGTAAACTGGCAAAACTGGGACATGAAGAAAAGGGCAAGTTTGAAATTCCTCGTTTCCCTGGGGCAAAGCGGCATACATACAGACCCCAAAAAAAAAGGAAAAAAGAATAAAAAATAAAACAAGAGAAAAAACGCAATTTAAAAAAAACTAAATTGTTCCGATCGTTTTTTCTACTTTCCGAAGTGCGAAAATTTCGCTCCCTCACAACCAAAAACAAAATTTGAAAGTCATCGTACTTCAACAAAAAAACAAAAAACGCAATCACCCTTCTCTCTCTCTCTCTCTCTCTCTCTCTCTCTCTCTCTCTCTCTCTCTCTCACACACACACACACACACACATAACGTCCTTTCCTTCACCTCCATGCGACACGTAAGCAGACGCTTTCGTGGACATCAGGAAGTTCTCTGATAACTACTACTGAAGATACTACGCTCTCGTTTTTGCAGCTGGGCTGAAACATATAATACCAATTTGTCTACCCTCTTCTCCTTCACCCCGCGCAAACAGCTCCAAAGCAAAACATACCGGGATCGGAATCGAGATCTTCCGGTGTCTTACTCCTTCCCCTCTCGCCGCCACCTGCCACCACCCCAAATCCCTCTCCACCCCTCTCCACCCCCTACCCCCCCACCTTAAAAGAGATGGGAATCGAGTGGGGGGAGCAAGGCCATCCCCGACATATGGAAGAAGAAGAAGAAGAAGAAGAAGAAGAAGAAGAAGAAGATGAACAAGAGGAAGAGGGACCACGACGGCGGAGGCCGAGGGTAGAGACTTATCGCCACGAACAGGAATTACTGCTACCAGTGTCCCGTCGTCGCCTTCGCACTCCTCCATAAGCAGTATTCAAGGAACCACAATGGATCACCTCTCTGTTCTCTCCCCCCCNCCCCCCCCCCCCCCCCCCCCTCTCTCTCTCTCTCTCTCTCTCTCTCTCTCTCTCTCTCTCTCTCTCTCTCTCTCTCTCTCTCTGTGTACACTTCTTTCCGATTTCTATTGTGCCCCGAGTGCACGCGTTCTGTCTCCTCTGTTCCTTTAGGCCGGGAAAGGATGAATTGGAAGCTGTAGAATCATTCGTTGGTTGTCTGCATGGATGATGCGCATCGTATACGACGAAAGGCACGGACACATACATACATAAACACCTACTACCAAGCAACAAGAAGGAAGAGGAGAAGAAGACAGAAGCCGAGGAAGAGGACAAAAGAAGAATAAAGATGGAGAAAGAAGGGAAAAACAAGAAAACAAACATGGGAGGAAGAAAAAGAAGAAACAGAATGAAGATGTGAAAAAGAAAAGTGGACAACGGATACGCTGTGGAGAAAGAAGGCGAACGAAGATGAAGGAAGAAGAAGGGAGAAGAAGAAGCCGAGGAGGGAACATGAAAGAAGAACAAGAAGAATCAGAGGAGCGAAATAGAAGAAGCAGAGGAGCGAAGTAGAAGAAGCAGAGGAGCGAAGTAGAAGAAGCAGAGGAGCGAAGATGGATGGAGGAGGGAGGAGGGACAAGGAGTAGGGAGGAGGGACAAGGAGGAGGGAGGAGCGACAAGGACGAGGGAGGAGGGACAAGGAGGCAATGGATGTCAAGGGTGAGGGGTAGTTGTCTGCAGCCTCGTCCTGCTGCAAGTAGCATGAATGTTTTGTGAAGCAGCAGCAGCAGCAGCAGCAGCTAGATAGATAGGTAGGAAGGTAGCTATGGTAGCTATGGTAGCTATGGTAGGTTTTCCTCCTTTTTCTTACTCTCCATCGTTTTCCTCCGAAGACATGTCCTCATCTTCGTCTCCGTCAAAGCGGCGGCGTTTTCTCACCGGCCTTTTGGAATCAAGTCCGCCCTCTTCACTCTTACCCCCTTTCCCTCCCTCCTCCATACTCGATCCGTTCTGATTACTTCCTCCCTCCCCTCCGCCTCCTCCTCCTCCCCCCGCATCCTCCTCCGGCGGCTCTGGCTTTCCAAACCACGTGGCATCATCAATCGCCGGCCCATAAAAATCTTTGGCGTCTTCCGGTACCACGACCTTAGACGACATGCTGGCGAGAAAAGCCATAAGGTCATCGTCCACACCTTCTTGACCCCTTATGCACATAATGGGGTCATCGTAAGCCCCTTCTTTGACGTCCACGTGTAAAGCACTGGGAAGCTCATCAGGCCTCGGTCCGATCGCGCACACGTCAGCGATGCTCCTCCTGTGGAACATAGCGTAATCCTTGACTACGCGCCAGCTTTTCACCAAAGCCGACGCATCGAACGAATTTCCCGGCCACGAAATTGGCGGGAAAACATACTTCTTTCCTCCCTTGCACATCCTTTGTTCTCCTCCCTCCACTCCTCCTCCCATCCCCACCCCTCCTCCTCCTCCTAGACAGTCACCTACTTCGTCTCCCCCACCCTCCCCTCCCTCCTCTTCCAAATTAACACCCATACTCACCGCATACAAGGCCAACTTATACATTCGTCTTTCCAACTGATACACTCTCAGCTTCGCTAGCTCTTTGTGGAAAACCGCCGCCGCGCGCATAACCCTAATTGACGATTTCACCTCCGCCGCGCTCGAGTGGGTCTTCACTCGCGCTTTGACCTCATTCAGGTCCATCTTCGACACCATCGACGGTCTGACCCCGATCGCAGGTCCCAATCTGTTTGAATCCGCCGCAAACACCAGCATCCTGATGGCTTTGGACCACACGATCACTGCTTTCCGGACCAGATGCAGTTCTCCCACCGAATCCGCAGACTTCATCACCGTGGACACGTGTTCGAACCACGCAGGACGACCGTACAATACCGACAATGCCAGCCGGCGCGCAATGTAATCCATTACAGCCTTCAGTGTAGTCACCTTCGCCTTCTTCACACTCGTATTGCTATTGCTACCCCCATTATTGACATTACTATTGCTGTTGCTATTGTTGTTGTTGTTGTTGTTGCTGTTGTTGTTTTCCCCGCCGCCGCCGGCGCCAGAGACCTCAACTAATCTGGTCATTAGGAAGGGGTCCACAGGGGTGGGCGCGATGTCCGGCAGATTATGCTCCGCATAGGTTCCGCACTGCCAACAGATATCCAGCGTGTCGAAGTCCTGCGCCGCCAGCGATCGTCGGGATTTGATAAGCGCTACCACGTTGTTGGCATTCTTAATAAGATCGCGAGTAGAGTCGATGTCTGGAAAATGACGGGCAAATGTCAGAGTCGGCGGAGGAGACCTACCACCTTCTCCATCGCCGGTCAGATCAACATCTTCCAGAGCTTCGGCAGGAAACTTCGCCTTCACGAGCACTTCTCTCTGGAGCGGTTTCACTACGATTCTCGTCCTTGCTTGTGTTCCCGCCAATGCCAAACAATCACCTCCTCCTCCTACTACTGCCTCCACCATCGCACCGTTCGCCTCCTCCATCGCCGCTGCTTCCGATTGCTCTGCGCTGCTTCCCGCCCTCGTCGAATCTCCTCCTCCTCCTCCTCCTATGAATCCACCACCTGCAGTCTCGATCCCTTGACCTCCTTGACCTCCTTTTTCACCTCCTTCCCCTCCTCGTCGTCCATCCACTCTCAGGGCAAAACCCTCGACCAGCACGACGTCGTCATCATCATCGTCGCCATCGCCCTGGCTCTGCTTCCCTACCGCGATCTCATGTGTCTTCTGTGCAGCTGCTGCTGCCGCCGGGCGCTCCACGTGCACAAATCCGAAGTCACCCTTTTCTTCTTCCTCCTCCTCCTCCTCCTTCTCCTCCTTCGGCTGCCTCCTTACCCCCCTAACGTTCCCCGCCTTCTTTCCACCCGCAGCTTTCTCGCTTCCTTTCAAATTCCCGCTGACGATGCCAGATCGCGCCTCCGCCGATGCTGAAGCGCGATTGCTGACGTCAACGTCCTCTTCGATCTTCCCGCCAACCACAGGTTTCGCTTCGTTCTCTATTTTTGCCCTCCGCAGTAGCATACGTCTCCCTTTATCCATGCCTTTATTCTACGCGCGAAAGTTTTTTGGGCCAATTAGTGACGCGCGCGCACCCACCCATGCCCGCCCACCACACCTATTCACCCATCTACTCGTTTCCTCTACAGCTTTTCAATCCACTTTATCATGCATATAACTCCCCGCCCACGCCCCTTTCACAGCGTCCCCGCTTCTTCCTTCTTCCTCTCCTCCTCCCTCCTTCTCCCCGGCCCAATCTCCCCCCCCCACACACACCCCCCCACCCTTCCGCCCTGTTTTGTCGGTCCGTTGACAAGTTCGTTACAAAGGTGTCCACGACGCTAAGTACCACCTACGCTGCCCACACGGAGGCGGCGGGAAGATGACGCAAATGTACAACTTACTTACTATCAATCATTGAATCCTCTCATTATCATTATCATCCCTCCTCCTTCAAGAACAGATATCGTACATCAAAAAATAATACAGCGATTTGGCAGACGGCCTCGCGGCAGGACAAGTGCATTTTGTTCGGCGGGCATGGCGATCAGCTAGCTACCTTCCGCTGTCTGATTGCTGTTTGGAGGACGAGGGTTAACTACCTCGCCTGCAACTCCGACAAGTCTGGCGGCTGAGCACAGCCTTCCGCACGCCCGCTCTGCCTCTAACACCTCACTCCAGATCCTTGAGCTGTCCACACACAGACTCTACAGGCTTGGGAAAGCGCTAGAAACCACCTCCGCAAAACACTGAACGACTTCTTCACCCTCTCAGCTGGTACTCTCTCTTCTGTGTGTCGGTTAGACGAGCCACCCTTCCCGCTCCCACAGATCGTATGAGTAGCCGTACCGGAACGCTTAGGACACGCCGCTGCCGCGAAAGCACACGTGCGACTAAATAAACTACGGCGAAAATTAAAAAAACCGTTCGTGCCCTCGTTGCTATGTATCGTCAAACAGTGCGATTACGATTATGGCAGCTGCTTCACCGCCTATGTAGACCCCACGAATCTGACGTTCAATGGGGGAGATTCGTGCTATGCTACGGGCGGTAGCCCGTAAGCCGCTGAACACTACCGCCAGGGCCCAGTGCTGTGTTCGTCTCTGAGTGCTTGGGAAGCATGAAGCTCCTCGCAGGACAAGACCGATTCGTGCTACGGTAGCGTGTGCACATGGGGGTGAGTGAGTGAGTTACTAGGTTTTTTTTTTTTTGTTTTTTTTTTGCAAAACAAAAAAACCTTGTGTAAGCCCTCTATCCCGGCCGTGTTAAGAGAACCGTCAGAATGGAGGGCTTATCTGTCGGGCTGCTCCATCTATTGGTGGGGAGCAGCACCTGCTGGAAACCGAGTCCAGAGTCCCATTGATACATCTTGTAACTGGTACCGCGCAGCCACTCAGCCACTTGGGAGAGAGAGCGGGTCACAAGCTCAATCTTTGTTCTTCTTGACAAACTGTCTTTTTTTGCTTTTGGTGAGCCTTGTCAGCGCAGAAGCCCAGCGTTGGGCCTTTGCTCCTGCATTCACCAAGTGCGATTTGACGAAATCCAACGCCTCAAAAAGAATTCTCTCTCGCCGCTTTTGAAAAGAAAAAGGACCCAATCTGGGGCACATATACTCGTTGCTTCTGAAAAGTCGTTGAATGCATGTGCCGCAGACCAGGCAATTTTATCTTCAAAGGCGGCGAAGCGTTCAGTCTTTGGCCTTCTGTCATGTGCAAGGGGCATTTTGTTTTTTGGAGAAACTACGTTCAGGCTTTGGCCTTCTGTCACAATGTGCAAGAGGCATTTTGTTTTTTGGAAAAATTACGCGGGAGTCACAAAAATGAGTTATAATTGCACTTGGGGCCAATATACAGTTTCGAATTGCAGTTCGGGCAATGTATACAACCCAGCTTTCTGGCCAGATAGGGTGCCCCAAGTGCAACTGCAAACTGTATCTTGCCCCATAGTGCAATGATAACTCATTTTTGTGACTCTACTGAAGTTACCCCTTGTTTTGTTTTTGGTTTAGTTGAACCCGTGTCTTCAGATTCACAATCTGCTATAGGGGCTCGCCACACTGCCCTTCGAAACGAGGCATTTTTCAAAAGTTGTCAGACGGAATTCGAGAGTACTTTCGAAAGAAAATTCCCCTTACCGATGGGCATAGCTCAGTTGGTACACCCACAAACTGTTGAAATACAGACCCAAGTTCGAATCCAGATACAATCAGTTAGCCAAAATAAAATTGTTCTGAATTTCCTAGGGCCGGTCAATTCAATGATGACATCTTAAGGCCATCGCTCTTTCCTTCGCCACACAGACTTTTTTTTGTTGAAAATAATCTATATTCTTCTCTCAATCTTGTTTATCTATATTTTCCTCATCTATCTCATCCTCTTGTGACGAACCGATTTCTGTTCCGCGCGATTTTCTGCGCGATAACAATGAAGGGTCCGAAGCTGGGAAGCATGGGCCAATTACGGGAGATCGGGATTGAGGGAGAATTGCATAAGTGTCCTCGCTTTTTCGTCTTTTCTCTTTCGTCGCTTCTTTTCGGATGGCAGGATTCAGGGTCGGGCAAGTCCCGAGATGACTGATTGAGTGGTTGTCGCGCCGACCAGGCGCGATTAATAACGGTTGACGTCGCTTCTTTTCTGTGTTGTTGTCGGATTTAGGCGCGGAGGTCGCGCGGGAATTTTGTTTTATTCTTTTTGAATTTCTTTTTTCAAATCTTGTCGAACCTTTAACGGCTCTCGGAACTTCGGATTTTTTTTTCGGAATTTGGGCTTCTTTTTCCATTAGCTAGGAATTTATGAATTTAGAATTTTTTTTTGTCGCGCAGCGCTTTTTGCTTATGCGCTTCTTTTAACGACTGCAACGGAGCTCTGATTAGTCGGCCCCCTTAATCGTGTGTATAACTCTTATTTTGGGCGGGCGCCATTGTAACTGTATCTTTTTTCTTGGACTTCATTTTTTCCGCTCTCGCTTTTTCTCTTGCTGTGTCTAGCTAGCCCCCGGACTGCATGCTCGGATCGATGCGTGGAGAGAGGCTACGTCCCCCACGCCGCGATCTGGCCATGCAGAACGCAGGTGCTCCCTCTCCTAATCTCCTTTCTAAATCCTTGCAATTCCGTGCTCTTCGCGCATGCTTGCACGCTATAAATTTCGGTTGCGCGATTAGATAGCTCTTTTAACCAGTTATTGGAAGTTTGGGGAGCGCGATCAGTGAGGGTCGGCTCGCGGGCGAAGTAAGAGGTGAGTTGAAGTGGGAGTCGGGCGACCCGACGAGCTGGTGCCGAATGCGCTGGGTTGACCTATGGGGCTACGACGGACTGTAGCGCGAGGGCGAACCTAACGAGTGCAGAAGGACTAAGCGGGGTGACGACTTTGTGGGTTGGTGCGTGACGACGGACTGTCCGCATCAGAGAGAGAGAGAGAAAAAAAGGGAGAACTGAGGTTGATGGACATGGATTTGCAGTTTTCTTTGTCTTTTCCCCCTCCTTGCTTTTATATATAAATTTTGATATCGGCTAAGAGCGACTCGCCCGTTTTTTTTTCTGTCTACGGAATCCTTGTCTTGGTTTCAGCCCACGCTCATTTTGCGATTGATCTTGATCTCGTTTTTTGTGTGCATGTTTTGTCGAATGAATGGATGAATAAATGTCATGTCTGATGCGTTCCCTTTTGCCTGATCTTTGCCTTTGCTTGTCATTTTGATGCATTCGTGAGCCTAGTAGGAATTTTTGTGTAATCGTCAATACTGCATTACTGTTTATCCTCTTTTGAGCTACTGTTGTTACTGCGATGCCTAATAGCACCTTGCATGCTCATGAACGATTGCG